ACAACTCCTTGAAGTTGATACGACAAGCAAACAGAAAGGACATTGTTGGGTGGGAGGGGGGAGAGGGAGGAGGGAGGGGGGTTTCGGTAATGGGCCACAATAATCAACCTCATTGTATATCAACAAAATAAAATTAGGAAAAAAAAAATCATATATAAGTAAACTTATGATTTCATTGTGTAGACTATATACCTTAGTTTCTTAAAAATTTTATCAGAAATTGAGGTTAGTCCAGAGAGGGTTAGAAGAAGGATCTCAAAAAATATGTAGAATAAGAATCAGGAAAGTAGATCATTTTGGCAGCAATGCTTTATTTTTATTAGAATTTTTTATTTGATAAGTAATAGTGTTGTGCTAAAAATACATTTTATTTTTCAGAAGTATACCCAGAGCAATGGACGAAGACCTTTTGGTATTTCGGCCTTAATTGTAGGTTTTGATGATGATGGTATTCCAAGATTATATCAGACAGACCCCTCTGGTACTTATCATGCTTGGAAGGTGAGTCATGAGTTTGTTAATTTTTTTTAGAAGTTGAGTAAATGTATTCACTGTAAAAGCTTTATTGCTTTCAAGGACATGACGAAGTTATGTTGTATTAAAATATTGATGGTGGCACAAACTTCATAAATGTAACCAAGCTAGTCAGAAACTATAATGGTTTTGGATGTATAGAGAAACACATTGGTTTATTAATCACAGGGTCTTTTCCTTACTTTTGAATAAAATGTGACAAACCTACATGTTTATAAATGGCCAAACAAGAGAAATATTCAGTTTCTATTCATTGTTTTGAAGTTGATACGACAAGCAAACAGAAAGGACATTGTTGGGTGGGGGGGGGGAGAGGGAGGAGGGAGGGGGGTTTCGGTAATGGGCCACAATAATCAACCTCATTGTATATCAACAAAATAAAATTAGGAAAAAAAAAATCATATATAAGTAAACTTATGATTTCATTGTGTAGACTATATACCTTAGTTTCTTAAAAATTTTATCAGAAATTGAGGTTAGTCCAGAGAGGGTTAGAAGAAGGATCTCAAAAAATATGTAGAATAAGAATCAGGAAAGTAGATCATTTTGGCAGCAATGCTTTATTTTTATTAGAATTTTTTATTTGATAAGTAATAGTGTTGTGCTAAAAATACATTTTATTTTTCAGAAGTATACCCAGAGCAATGGACGAAGACCTTTTGGTATTTCGGCCTTAATTGTAGGTTTTGATGATGATGGTATTCCAAGATTATATCAGACAGACCCCTCTGGTACTTATCATGCTTGGAAGGTGAGTCATGAGTTTGTTAATTTTTTTTAGAAGTTGAGTAAATGTATTCACTGTAAAAGCTTTATTGCTTTCAAGGACATGACGAAGTTATGTTGTATTAAAATATTGATGGTGGCACAAACTTCATAAATGTAACCAAGCTAGTCAGAAACTATAATGGTTTTGGATGTATAGAGAAACACATTGGTTTATTAATCACAGGGTCTTTTCCTTACTTTTGAATAAAATGTGACAAACCTACATGTTTATAAATGGCCAAACAAGAGAAATATTCAGTTTCTATTCATTGTTCATTCTTCCAAATTAGTATTGCATCATGGGCCGGCCCCATGGTGCACTGCTACAGTGCGCCGCTTGGGAGTGTGGTGGCGCTCCCGCTGAGGGTTCGGATCCCACATACAGACCGGTTCCCGCTCACTGGCTGAGCGAGGTGTGGGAGCAACACTGAGGGTTGCGATCCCGTTGCCGGTCCCGGTCCGGTACGGGCGTGACACTGAGGGTTGCGATCCGTTGCCAGACACGAAAAAAGACAAAAAGGAAAAAAAAAAAAAAGTATTGCATCATACAGATGCTTGTGTTGAGTAGAAATAGTTTTTCTGCTTTTAATAAAGAATTAGATGGGCATTTAAACTCCATATGGGAATATTTAGTGCATCATCTATCTATTCTAGGAGAGTCAGAGCACCCCTATGAATCTATACTTATTTACATGTTAGTATGTGGCGGTGATCTCCATGTAATTCCTGGAATATAGTTTGTTTTCTGGACAAATTATTCTTCTTTTGTTGTTGTTTCTTTTTTTTTTTTTTTCTTTTCTTTTTTCTTTCTTTCTTTTTTTTTTGGATAAATTGTTATTCTTGTTTCAGTACCTAACAACTAACTTTGTTTAATAGTGCACTCAAATCCTATATAAAAGTCTAGGGCCTAGAAAAACTATTGGCAGTTCCCAGAAGTGAATTTTTGTATATTCTTGTATATAGGAATAAATAAGGTTAAACTACAGAATCTAATATAACTGACTTTAACTTAATTAAAAGTTTTTGGGTTTTTTTTTCCTTTTTTTGTCTTTTTTACTGACCGGTAACGGGATCGCCACCCTTGGTGTCGTGCCCACACCGGGGACCGGCAACAGGATCGCAACCCTCGGTATTCCCCCCGCACCGCGCTCAGCCAGTGAGCGGGAACCGGTCTCCACATGGGATCCGAAACCGCGGCAAGAGTGCCGCCGCGCTCCCAAGTGGCGCACTCTCCAGTGCGCCACCGGGCCGGCCCTAATTAAAAGTTTAAATACCCAGGCCTAAAATAATTTCATGCAGAGTTTATGTTACTATTATTAAGAGCCAAATAAGTTAATGAGGAAATATTGTTGTGGTCTTTATGGCTGTGTTAAGTAAAGGATTTGATTTCAGCTGACCATGCTCATAATATTCTTTTATATACTAGTTAATCAGGCCANACAACTCCTTGAAGTTGATACGACAAGCAAACAGAAAGGACATTGTTGGGTGGGAGGGGGGAGAGGGAGGAGGGAGGGGGGTTTCGGTAATGGGCCACAATAATCAACCTCATTGTATATCAACAAAATAAAATTAGGAAAAAAAAAATCATATATAAGTAAACTTATGATTTCATTGTGTAGACTATATACCTTAGTTTCTTAAAAATTTTATCAGAAATTGAGGTTAGTCCAGAGAGGGTTAGAAGAAGGATCTCAAAAAATATGTAGAATAAGAATCAGGAAAGTAGATCATTTTGGCAGCAATGCTTTATTTTTATTAGAATTTTTTATTTGATAAGTAATAGTGTTGTGCTAAAAATACATTTTATTTTTCAGAAGTATACCCAGAGCAATGGACGAAGACCTTTTGGTATTTCGGCCTTAATTGTAGGTTTTGATGATGATGGTATTCCAAGATTATATCAGACAGACCCCTCTGGTACTTATCATGCTTGGAAGGTGAGTCATGAGTTTGTTAATTTTTTTTAGAAGTTGAGTAAATGTATTCACTGTAAAAGCTTTATTGCTTTCAAGGACATGACGAAGTTATGTTGTATTAAAATATTGATGGTGGCACAAACTTCATAAATGTAACCAAGCTAGTCAGAAACTATAATGGTTTTGGATGTATAGAGAAACACATTGGTTTATTAATCACAGGGTCTTTTCCTTACTTTTGAATAAAATGTGACAAACCTACATGTTTATAAATGGCCAAACAAGAGAAATATTCAGTTTCTATTCATTGTTCATTCTTCCAAATTAGTATTGCATCATGGGCCGGCCCCATGGTGCACTGCTACAGTGCGCCGCTTGGGAGTGTGGTGGCGCTCCCGCTGAGGGTTCGGATCCCACATACAGACCGGTTCCCGCTCACTGGCTGAGCGAGGTGTGGGAGCAACACTGAGGGTTGCGATCCCGTTGCCGGTCCCGGTCCGGTACGGGCGTGACACTGAGGGTTGCGATCCGTTGCCAGACACGAAAAAAGACAAAAGGAAAAAAAAAAAAAAAGTATTGCATCATACAGATGCTTGTGTTGAGTAGAAATAGTTTTTCTGCTTTTAATAAAGAATTAGATGGGCATTTAAACTCCATATGGGAATATTTAGTGCATCATCTATCTATTCTAGGAGAGTCAGAGCACCCCTATGAATCTATACTTATTTACATGTTAGTATGTGGCGGTGATCTCCATGTAATTCCTGGAATATAGTTTGTTTTCTGGACAAATTATTCTTCTTTTGTTGTTGTTTCTTTTTTTTTTTTTTTCTTTTCTTTTTTCTTTCTTTCTTTTTTTTTTGGATAAATTGTTATTCTTGTTTCAGTACCTAACAACTAACTTTGTTTAATAGTGCACTCAAATCCTATATAAAAGTCTAGGGCCTAGAAAAACTATTGGCAGTTCCCAGAAGTGAATTTTTGTATATTCTTGTATATAGGAATAAATAAGGTTAAACTACAGAATCTAATATAACTGACTTTAACTTAATTAAAAGTTTTTGGGTTTTTTTTTCCTTTTTTTGTCTTTTTTACTGACCGGTAACGGGATCGCCACCCTTGGTGTCGTGCCCACACCGGGGACCGGCAACAGGATCGCAACCCTCGGTATTGCACCCGCACCGCGCTCAGCCAGTGAGCGGGAACCGGTCTCCACATGGGATCCGAAACCTCGGCGAGAGTGCCGCCGCGCTCCCAAGTGGCGCACTCTCCAGTGCGCCACCGGGCTGGCCCTAATTAAAAGTTTAAATACCCAGGCCTAAAATAATTTCATGCAGAGTTTATGTTACTATTATTAAGAGCCAAATAAGTTAATGAGGAAATATTGTTGTGGTCTTTATGGCTGTGTTAAGTAAAGGATTTGATTTCAGCTGACCATGCTCATAATATTCTTTTATATACTAGTTAATCAGGCCAATAAAATAGTGGATTACGTTCTCACAACAAATATACTTGTGTCAGTTGCACATCTTCTTTTAATGTACTTGGGTAATCTGATAATCAGAAGACATGGATTTACCTGCTGCAGGTATCAGAATTTTTTTCTGTCAATGAGACGTCTCTTACAAGTACTAGTTTTCCTGTGCCTTCCAAATCTGTACCCTAAATAAACCAAGTTATTACACTCAGTCTTTAAATATTTTAAGCCTGCCATCTTCTGTTTGCATTTATCATTACATCATTACCCTCCATTTCAATATGCAACAATTTCTAAGTTTATGTAATTTTTCATTTTAATTTGATTGCTTTCTGGGGACATACAGAGAGGTATTTTTATTTTATCTCAGTCAGTTAGAAAATTATAGAATTTTCAGATTATTGGGAATTTTTTTGATCATCTTGGTTTGAAACTATGCTCTGCTGTGCTATCTTCAGGCCACGTGGTGGGCCAGGGAGAGTGTGAGCAGTGCATGCACATGCACACACTGTACACCCCACTATCATCATTTTATGTGTGCACTTTCTTACAAGATTTTGGTTGAAGGAAGTATTAACAGCTTTAAAAAAATTATAATGAAAACATTTGAAAAGCATTTTTATTTTACACATTTGTAAACCGAGAATCAGGGGTTAAGTAAATTTTTAAGTTCACACTCCTAGTTAATAGCAGTACTGGAATTAGAGATCAGGGTCTTCTATCTTGGAAGGTAGAATAAAATCTTCTCATTGATTTTTACTTCTGGGGACTATAGCCCTTTAGCCATAAGATCAAGCTTTCTTTATTTTTTCTTTGTTTTTATCTATTGTTTATTTTTTTGTCTTTGTTTGTTTGTTTGTTTTCTGGCATATTATACTAGGTAGCCTAATAAAATGGTGCAGTGGGCTTTTGAGGACACAGCTATGGCACTGGCATGACAACACTTTGAAGCACTAGTTTGTAGTTTTATAAAGTGCAGGTAGAGGAAAATGTGGAATAGGTAGCAGAAATAGGAAGGTATAAATATTAACTGACCACATGATCTGTTGCAAAAATGAGAATAGAAATAGCTGATACCAGCACTTTGGTTTGTTGGGGTTTTTTCCCTGGCATGTGGCACAAACATTTCTTTCTGAAGATTCTTTCTAGTGATTCTGCTTTAATGGGTTACAGAGCCTTCCATTAACTTTTTTCACTTTACAGAGAGACCTCTAGAAAATCCCTTGCGTTGTAGACACTTCTTCCGTACTCCCATTGTATAACAGTGACTTTATTTCCCTTGATAATCAAAACAAATCATACTGTCTGCTATGGTTTATCCCCAACAAAATCCATGTTGAGGCTTGGTCCTTAATGTAATGCTGTTCAGAGGTAGTGGGACCTTTAAGAGATATTTGGGTCATGAAAGGATCTGCTCTCCTGAAGTGATTAATGTAGTCTCAAGGGAATAAGTGAGTTCTCGCTCTCATGTGATTTAGTTATCTGCAAGAGCAGGTGTTATAAAATGAGGTTGCCTTTGGTTTTTGGTCCCTTTTTCCATGCACCTGGTTCCCATTTTGTTAATTGGCCATGTTTTGACATAGCACGAGGCCCTCACCAGAAGCTGCCAGATGTGGCTGCCCAATCTTTAATTTCCCACCCTGCAGAACCGTGAGCTAAATACACCTCTTTTCTTCATAAATTACCCAGTAGTAGGTATTCTGTTATAGCAACACAAAATGGACTAAGACACAATGTATGTTAGTCCATTTTCTGCTGCTTATAACAGAATGCCTGAAACTGGGTAATTTGTAAAGAAACAAAATTTATTTCTTACAGTTTTGGAGGCTGGGAAGTCCATGGTCCAGGGGGCTCATCTGGTGAGGGCCTTCTGGGTGGGAACTCTCTATAGCATTGCTGTAGTGAGAATGGCATGAACAAGAGAGTTAACATGCTCATTTGTTCTCCTTATAAAACCATCAGAACCATTCCCATTAAACCATTAACCCATTACTCCATGAATGAATTAATCCATTCACAAAGGCGCTGTCCTTATGATCCAATCACCTCTTAAAGGCCCCACCTTGCAAATACCATAAGTGGATTTCCCATCCTCTTAATATTGTTGCAATGAGATCAAATTTTCAACACAAACTTTTTGTGGGGGACACATTCACCCATAGCATCATCCTTACAATAACCCCTTCTTTGCCTACTGGTTCAATGGCTTAAGGAGCCCAAAATGTCCCAGTCTCAAAATGGCAGTCTCAGCTTCAAGTTCAGTGAAATTATTATGTTCCCTGATAGAAACATCCTTCCCTACCCCACTTCCTCCCCTACCTTAGAAACTAGGACCTTTAAACTAGCAGAAGCAGGTGGGAACTGGAACCAAACATTTTACAGGTTGGCTAGTAGGTGTATTAATTAGATACATCTATTCTTTGACTACTAGATTTGTGGCTGTGGGAGAAATTAATTACTGGTTTATGGTTCAGGATACATACAAAATCTTATAAAGCAGAACCCTAGCCCTGGAAGATGTCAACTAGCTGCTGCTGAAACTGAGTCTTCAGTAGCCTGTCCACCTTTCTATCAGGCTGGCTACTTCATGATGATAGAGAACAGGATAAAACCACTGAATCCTGTGGGCATAAGCCCATCCCCCTATGTCCTCACAATCAGTTTCTTGCTCAGAAGCAATGCTTTGTGGGATACCTTGGTGGTGAAGAAAGCATTCAGTAATTCCACGGGTAAGAGAACTGACAGAAGCATTTGGCCCAGGTAAGAGAAACATATCCAGAGTAAGTTTTTCTTCCAGTGAGGGCAAACTGCTGCCCCTTTCCTGACAGAAGAGTCTAATGAAATCAGTCATGTTAGCGTGTTGCCATGAAGCTCTGCCAGTATCCAGATCAACTGTAGTGAGGAAACAACCATTTTTAGATTTTTTTTTTTTGACAGCTGGCCAATACAGGGAATCAAATCCTTAACCTTGGTGTTACAAGTTTGCACTCTAACCACCTGAGCTAACCAGCTAGCCCCTAAATTTTTTTCTTCACATGTTTTTATACTGAAGAAAATTTTTTTCACTTGTTTAATGAACAAATGAAAAATTGTATATATTTATGGTGCAAATGTGATGCTTTGATATATAGCATGTATACATTGTGAAATGCTTAAATTAAGCTAATTAACATATCCACCACTTCACTTACTTATTTTTTGTGATGAGAACATTTAAAATCTACTCTTTTTAAGCACTTTTCAAGTATACAATTCATTATTAACTATATTCATCATGTTGTACAGTAAATCTCCAGAACTTATTTCTCCTGAACAGAAACTTTGTACCCTTTAACCGACAGCTTTCCATTCCTATCTCCTTCTTCTTTCCCTCCCTCCCAGCCCTGGTAACCACCATTCTATTCTCTGCTTCTATGAGTTCAATTTTTTTTAGATTCCACATATAAATGAGGTTATGTAGTATCTATACCCAGCTTAGAAGAAAAAAAAAATTTGTTTTTAAAGATGACCAGTAAGGGGATCTTAACCCTTGACTTGGTGTTGT